CTGTCCCGAACATCCCTAAAAATCACACTGAAGGTGTTGGCCCTGGTAAAGCGACTTGGTTTAGAAACGAGGATGCCAAGCTGAACCATCTGCTGCTGTCTGCAACCCTCAGCACTTAAACTTCAGCATCATCATTTGATGAAAGTCAACGTTGAATGCAAAGCTCACAAGGGATCGAAATCCATAATCAAGTTTAGAAGGTAATACATCAGCCTCTCCATAGAAATGGCTTTTACCGGAATATCGTTTTAATGTTATTCTACATGAACTGAACAAAGAAACAAAAGACATATAATTGTGCCCGAAAAATGCTCCGCTTCTCAAAAGAAGCACTGATGAGTAGAAAATTATTGTATGAAAAGATCAGCGTGTCGCTAGTTTATCACTCACCGTTGTCCTCACGACATTATAAAGTATTGTTCGAATCTTCTTTTCACCCAAAGAAACGGACTAAGACAATTACAGAAACTTTACGCAAAGTGCGAGTTAATGAAATGATTTTTATTTGTAAAAACAGGGACCATAAACTGAATGCACCTCATGGTAATCTTCCGTCTAAGTGTCATCCTAGACATCACCTGTTTTCAACATTTAGTTATTTATGCAAGCAGAAAAACATCAAGTATTTGGCAATGCGAGGGAGAATGTATAAGTTTATTGATGAAAACCCACTGACTGGATGACCTAGTACGAGTGGTTAACCGATAATGTGCCCCGGCTACAGAAAGTGGCTAGTGATTCTGTCCACGGTGACTTCACAGGAGAGCACGCACTTCTTTTTCTGCCGGCGACGTCGATTTTTCTCAAAATACCTCGGTGGTGTTCAGATGGTGGGAAGGAAGTAGCTGTGGTGTGAGACACATTATTTCTGTTATCACAATACGCGAATCTAATCGACAGAATGTGTCATTATTATTATTGCTGTTGACAGTGATGCACTCCCGACAGCTTGATGTCATGTATCGAGGACGTGGAGAGAAAAGAACATGTAAGCTTAGGCTTGAGGCTAACTACCTCCTGCGCCGTGTAGCACTACGGCCAACGGAGATAGGTGTAATGCGAGGCTTCTGACAGTGGTTCGAGTCATTTTCAGGGCAATCGCGGGCTATTATATTTGGTGGTATGTTTGGGGGCCATTGGGTCGATCAAGAAGTGAAACCGGAAACAAAACAGTTTAGCGGCATCATCACTCCTTGCTGCCTGTGCTTTTCGCGCTGCGTAGCAGGGACCATGGTAGGATCATTTTCATGTCCAGTGAAGTATACTTAAGGAATAGTAAAGAAATAATAAAACATAATCGTTTCCATTTTAAAGCTACTAAGTGTCACTTCACTCAAAACATCTATTGTTTTGGTTTACAAGTAATTTAGCTTGCCAGATTTGATATGGTTGACTTTTTTATACAGTGTAACGATCGAATTAAAGACGCTAATAAAAGCGTTTCCACTGTGCAACATGAAGAAGAGCAATCGCATAATAGTGTGAAATCAGGGAGCAGCTGTGCCCATAAGAATATACTTTTTACCCATAACACATGTGACACTGTTGTGGATCACGAAATGACAAGTTTATTCCGTGAAAACAAGTCGCTTCCAGCTGTCACGTTATCTTTAGAATGTCTATGTAGATGTATATATTTAGTAGGGATAATCTTAGGGTATCCTAAACAACAGCGCATGAGAATTAAGACGAGATGTCTACACAAAGTAGAATAAGCAGGACGTAGAAGAAACAGTTAGGCTACTCAGTTACAACTAGCTGTGCATTGCAACTACCACATATATACAGCCTGCAGTAACAAAGGAAATGTGTTTTACAAGGCAGATAAAACCACTAGCCTGCTGTTTGATGTCTAAGTCGACCGACGTACGTTGAGTGGTCGATTTTGCTGCTTTCACCATTGGGGCTGTAAAACACCAGGGACCCCCAAGAGTGGTACTGAAAACTTATTCTGCCGCTGAACAGTAGGCGTCGGTCTTGGCTGACGCACGAAGTTTTGACTTTACTGTGATGAGATGTTCTGCCCAGCGAGTGGAATCGTAGCATAATACCAAGGGAGCCTTGAGCTGTTGATGAAACTTTCCCACCGGGCCATTTCCCCATGGGCAGCATTTCATCAAACGAATCACTAAATGGCTCTGATTCAAACCTTTCCCCCTATCGGTGGTGACAGTTACAGGGACACCAAGTATCGACATCCGGTGCTGAGGAAAATCTTTTGTCACTGTTTCTGAAGTAATATCCGTAAGTGTAATGGCTATCGGGAACTTTTTGCACCCCTGGGCGCATGCGAATAGGTGCGTGGAACCGCTAGGATGGGATAAAGAACCCACTAAATCCACATGTTCATGTGCAAAACCCATATCGGGCTCCGAAAACGACCCCCAGAGGTGATACTGTATGTCGGTCTGCCTTAGATTATTTGCATGCCACACATTCCTCAACCAATTTCCGTTCATCTCACCGCAAATCGAGCCAAAACCATTTATCAACACCAGGTTTAGTCGAGGCTTTTGCTACAGGATATGATAAGGACTGGAAATTATCGAATGCTAACTTCCTCATGCTTTTAGGTACGCAAGGTCTAATAGAATTCCTTGTCATGTCACAGTGAATAAGTCTATCGTCTGTGGGTGAAGGTAGCTGTCTAATTTCCAGACTGCAGCCACCAGTAGAAAGTAAATTTCCCAAGTCCTTATCTATCTGTTGGCGTGCAGCTAAAGCCTTGAAGTCCATGGTGGATTATTGAATACCATTACGTTAATCCCGGACACAGCGACCCCCCGCAACTTTGCGTACCTTTGACATGTCTCATGTCGCTCATAAACTGCGATGAAGAATCAAGGAGATGGACTTCATGTGACTTTGCATTTAGCGCAAAAGTTCAGGGCTTGCTATCCGCGTGGATTATCCCTAGATTGTACCAGTTTCAAGGTTGTGATGGAACTGGCTTCACCCATCGCGTAAATAGAAGTTCCCTTCAACGTCAACCTGTGTTTTTTCGTGTCCACAAAAACTGCAAACCACCCCGAAAAATTTATATCCAGTATCCCTAGGTTCTCTGGGAAAACCCAAAGAAAATCGCTGTTTAAATCCAAGGTCTGAGGTCATGATCCTTTGTCCCAACGCCACCATTTTGTGTTTTATTAGTTGCCTGTAGCGTGACTGTGGGCCCTTGGCGCTCGTGCTTGGCCTTGTTTCGTGGGATGGTATTAGTAGTGGCTCCCATATCTACCGGGAATCGTATCCAGAATCTCCCCGCGATAGAATTGGCGACCGTACAGGCTGCCCTCCTCAGTAGTCGTTATCCGAGGAGTTAGCCGCTTCCCTGTTTGTCAAGGATCGCCGGGTCCACGTACATGCTTATGTATGTCTTTTAGACTGTGCGCTGTACCTCCAGCGACGCCAGTAAAACTGTTCGGACTCAGGCTTTTGTCCAGGCCTATTTCCTGATCTGTATCTAATAGGGGGTTTTCCACCTTGGCTCTGACCCAGTTAGATTTGAGCCGCAGCTTCTGTTAGAGCTTTCGCGTCCACCACTAATTCTGTAATAACGGCGTCTTTAGGCGAGCTGTGAGTAGTATAATGCACTGAGTAGCTGTCCCGTTTCGTACTCCTCTCCTCAATGCAACCTGCTACTGGAGCCAGTTCTGGGAGAGTGGTTTTGGGGTCCTGTACGTCAAGCACGTGTTGGGCATGATGTGGCAGTGCCTAGATCCAACAGTCCTTGGGACGGCTTATCCAAAAGAACTGCCTCACACTACCTTTCGCAAGTCCCTAAAGCTAAGATGGTGACCTACCTCCCAGCACCTCTCCTTAAAACGGACACCGGACATGTAGACTGCCCTATGTTGTCAGACAGCTTATTATCCCATAACTGAGCGTAGAATAAAGTTGTTCTTCCGGGATACTAAGTCCACGTCACGAACCTTCCTACTAACCTGAAGAGAAAGTGTGAAACGCAAGTCCCTTTCTTGTGATTTCTCCGACTTTATGCTGTGACGGTCAAAGAAATGTTGTTGTTGAGTGAGCCGTAGTTCCGGGTCTTGGCTACCGACGTCTGGTAGTCGGCTCTCATTAGCCAATAGAGTGTCCACTTTAGGTGTAACAGACTCATTCACCATATCCGGACCAAAATCAGTAGGGTTGGGCATTTTAGTGCTCAAAAAAGCAACAGAAATTAATAAATATGCAGGAAAACAGGCTAAATTAATGAAGGAAAGGAATATACTTTGTCAGGCTCAACAATATCCGACCCGGAGCTTATAGCTGACGCTCAGAACTACTCACTTTAGTCAGTCGAAACGTAGCAAGTAGGAATGCAGTTACAGTAGCGCTAAGTGTTTATTTTGAGCGATCCCGTGGGAAAGTCCAGCAGGTAAACTCGAACAATCATACTGAAATTTAATGGAAGTCACTGTTGAGTGCAAGATTCATAAGAGATAAAAATTCCTAACTAACTTTACTGGGGACACCAGGCTGACGACTACAATGGACGACAGACCAGCTAAAGCAGATAATCTGAAAAGGGCTCCCTTATCCATCGGCAGAAGTACCTCGACTGGGCTGCTTAAGGAGCTCGTCTAATTGCTTTCGGGTTTAGACGATGTGTACAGCCTGTTTGGGGAAAGATGGTTAACTATGGACGCACCCGGGGCTGGTTCTGTTGGACCTTCGTGTCTACGAAGTGATAAATTGATTATAACTTAAGAGTACATTCAAGTAGTGTTTTACCAGACATTTTTTGAGTCGAAAAAGGAACAGCCTCCGCTTATCCGGCAGTTTCCCGTCCGTCGTATGATAGCCATTATCCGGTGAGTAGCATATTCATACAACTCACGAATTTCTAACACGCTGACCTAGTCGCACTGCTGTAAGTGGTGAGATCCCGGCATTCATTGCTAACGTCTCTGCACCGCGCTCCACTTCCCCCCGCCCCGGATGAGACTTCCATTACTCCGATCCCACGTATTAACTTTTTCTTTTGATTGGGTACTTACTGGAATTCCCATTTATGGCGTTCAGTAATTTTTCCAAAGTTTAACTTGGACATGTTCACTGATCTGCCCCGCGGTATGGTTACGTAGTTGCAGTACGATTTGCCCTAGAATGAGGCAAACGAAGCCCGTTTTTTGTGTGTATCCCGTGTGTTGGGACAAGTGTCAGCCCTCTGTAGCTTTACTGGATCAGTTCACTGGAGGTCCCCGTGGTAATTGGCTTCCATCATCTTTCATCATCAAATCACTGATTTTTATTCCTTTGGACAGAGTTCCGCTGCACAGTTAAAACCCACCGATGGAAAAATTATCACAGTTTATTATAGATAAGGCAACAGAGTGCTAGTCCAAGTACGTTGCCTCTGTACGCCTGATTTTTAATTCTTTTTCTGCAAATCTTTCATCGCCCGTTAATTGCGTATGGCTACTCACCTCGTGCCAAGAGGCATCAAAGTTTTCTCTGACCCGATTAACAGAATTTGGCTGTCTGTTTGAAGTGTGTGAGCATTTCCTTCACCCCTTATTAACCAATACACCGCTATACCAGCGCACAGAACTACAAGAGATTTTCCGTGCTGATTCGTTCGTTTACTACTGCATTTCTACAGTAGGATGAGTGGTAACCTCACGTCTGCACTCATTATCCCACCCGAAAACTTACGGGCCAACAGGTGTCACTTGCATCCTTATCTAGCGAGGTTCCCCCGAGAAAACATCAGTGAAAATTCCACAAACCTTGGTAGAAGCATCTACGTCTCGAAATTAATTACCTTCTTACAGTTGTGGGAGTCACCGGACGTTTGTGGGAGCAGGCAGCCTCAACCCCTTTATGAAGTAAGGGCGAATCTTCACTGTGTCGAAAACAAATAAATCTGGCACACTACTATGTAACAAAACACTGCCTCACTTGCTAACTTTCGATCTTAAAACCTAATTAGTCGTAACTAGATCTTTTGGCAGTGTGGACTTTACATTGCATGCATTTTGGTAGCGGAAACCGTCCACCCGGAGCTTGTACGCACTTTGGTAAGCCTCAGATGAACAGCTTAGGCTGAAACAAAAGAACGAAGCTAGCTAACATCCTGACCACCTTCTTTGGGGTAATAAATAACTGTAGGAGAGAGGTAACATCTCATGAGTAAACTGCAATTCGTCTGGGCTTCCGTCTCCAAAGTTGGGGCGTCACAAAGCAATCTCAATCATGCCGAGACCTCAGAAAATGATTTCACAGCATTGGGTGTAGGGCTGATTAATGCAAATGCTGAATGTTTGTCCAGCACACGCCGTGAAAAAGAGGAATGACAAACGAAACTAGTGCTCATCTCAAGTGAGTTTCACATATGTGAGATCCCACTCATTTTTCATGCCAGGAGCTCTGGGTTATCAACACCACTCTTGTTGGACAAGTAAAGTGGGCCCGTGAGGGTGTGGTAACACTTTATGTCAGTTCGTCCAAAGCGCATCAGTTCCCAATTGACATAAATGATCGTTGGCCTCCCGGTTTTCTGATCTGTACCTCCAATTAAGTCTAGCTCTTCAGAAAGGACTTTTCGGCTCTTATTTCCCTCACTGGGCATGATTTACAGGTATTCAACAGGCCAGCACGATCTTCCTCAACTGATGGCCTCATCTCAGTTATCCAGGAGTGCACACCACGCACACTTCTATAGATGTGACGAGGAAGAGTATGAAGACAGAGTCCCACTAGTATTTCGAGTCAATAAGATTGTGTAGGCAGCCTTCGAGAACTGACTTTGCGAATGAGGGGGCAGGACTGAGACCATCCAAGCTGTCGAAACCACCTCTCCGAGAGCCATCACAGGATTTCTGGAACTGGGACACAGTAGACAGAAACCACTGCCAATCTCTTGACCGTTCAATCGTCTAACGTGAGTTGGTCAGCGGCGAGTTCTTGAATCATCATTCACTCCAAACTTGTCCCCCAGGTTTACACTTGTTCCCCCCTATATCCCTGGGAAAGCTTGAGACTTATTATACCAGGGCTAGGTAGTTGCTGTGACTATGTCTGCAGAGTCAAGAGCTAGGTTTAGCAACTTAGAAGTTTAGATGTCCAAAAGGTTAGCCAGGCTACGAAGATGGAGGATTTTTTAAACTCTCGCATCAACCTGCAGTTTGTCCATTGAACATCTTCGCTGATCTATGCCACGATTAACCTGTGTAGTCTGTGGACACGCTATTCGAGAATTCCGAGCATAGTTATCGGACAACACACATCTTTTGAGTATAGTCCTCCATCACTGCGGATTTGCTCGCTTGCAGATAGGGATCCGTCAGCTATATTCCCAACGTATGGCAGTGTTAATACCCTTCTAACCGGTGAATTTTCAGGAGAACATGTTAGGACTAACAAGTGTTGTCCAGAGAGATCCTTGAACATCTTTAAGTTGCACAACTGGGTGAGTTTCCTGCGACTCCGTATGCAGCCACCCACTAACCACCTTCGACTTGATAAGTAATAAAATTGATCTTGTTTCACGTTGGGCTGATCAAGGAGAGTAGCTAATTTGCCAAGGTTACTTCCGTCTTCTATAGAGGGGCTGGTTGCAATTATTCCTCTTGTTTCTCTTTCGCCACTTATCATTTGTGGCCTACGCACTCTTCTCTGAATGCATATCTTCCAAAGCTGAGCCAGCAAGGGAGTAGTCCATATCTGTAATGTTTTGACAAGTGGTGGTGTAGTGGCCACTTTTGCAGAATGGTCAGAAACAGACCCAGTTAGCCCCACCACCGAATTGCGTTCATTCTTGTTCCTGTGATATGGACATAAACACCAGTCATCACCAAACAGGTTATTTGGAAGTATGTCATGATAACCAGAAGGCTGGCTGGGAGCAGTTTTGCCATTGTGAGTACAGTCTGAGACCCATCTCTAAAGCGCAGACCATACGTCCATCAAACGCCATACAGAGACATCCGAATACTGTCCTCACTCAGAATCAGGTGCATATTCTGGAAAAGTTAAACCCAAACAAAAAATATTTAATTTATATTCAACCTGTTCAAAATACCACTAGCTTTGTTAGGCACACAGGTTAATAATCCAAGGAACGTCTCGTTTGCTTCTAGGCACTTGGGACAATTGAGCGAGAGCTAGTTCTACCCATTTGCCGTCCCATTTTAGGTTATTCGATTCACAGTACATTGAGCAATGCAATAGAAGTTTGTTTACGTAGATGTGTCCTTGCCACGAGTGTGAGTTGCTTCATTGTGTATACTGTCTTTTGCCTAGTTAGACGTTGGCTGCTGTTTTGTCTTGTTCTCTCTAACACATTTTCATGCTGACTGAGTGAGCTACCTCCGGCAAAGCCAAATAATTTCGCTCCCCTGCAATAGCTTACTTGTTCGATAGAAAAAGCTTCCCAAACTAATCATTACATTTTTATGACTAATTTCAACTCTTGGGAAGAGTTTGCAAAGGCTGCCGAAGTTCTTTACTTAGAAGATCCATCCAAAGTAACAAAAAACAAATAATGACTTATTTCCAGTGTCGAATGTGTACAAAGTACCGACATGTAGATCGAAAGCTTGTGGTCAAGTTAACGGACAATCATACAGTAAGTTTTCCGGTTACATTATAGTTTTGAAGGTGTTGAAATATGTCACTGATATGGCTCAGGATGTTAAAAAGATTGAGAAGTTAACTTCGTTGCTTATGCGTCACATGGCTTCAAAAGAAAATGAAACTGATTCTTTAACCGGAAGATGTGGATCCCTTATTTGTGCGTATAATTTCCGCTACCTACCAATCTGTACATATTCCTTTTGGTCTTCGGTAGCATCTGGTATGTACATCACTACTTTTGGTAATATTTCGTCACGTTAAAACAATTACTCCTATTCGGTGTTTTGATTTGCTTGCCAGAGTCGGGACATACGCGTGGTTGCACCACTGAGTAAAATTTCTTCCTGCTTTTTAATAAGACTAAGTGGAATCTATGTTCTTTGAAGATCGATGTATGCTTGCCTAGGTGAGTAGTGGGTTTGTCATTCCGTTGAGTTTCCCTAAACGTTTTGAGTGAGCATATCTTCGTGTCCTGCTGTTTCTTCCACTCATGAAAGCGGCGTTCTAGCTTAAATTTCTAATTCGGCGTTAGCCGGAGGTATGCATACTGTGCCCATGCTTTGAACTCGTTCGTCTTAACCCTTCTGTCATATTTCATCGAATGGCTTCTGCTGTGGTTCTCTTCAGGTAGCACGTTCTTAAGGTTGTCGTTCAGTAGGCAAGTTATTTTTCAGCAAACGGGGCATATTCACCAAACAACTTCCATAACTGCTTCATTATGAATTCATAATATTCCTGAGGGTCGATTCTGCCGCACAAGCAGTGTACCTATTCCTGATATATGCTACAAGTGAATGCGTAGTTCGATTTCCTAACTGTCATCATCAAAACTCTCCAGTCTTCTGTGCTGTTCTTCGGTATTTTGCAGATGGCGATACTCTGATTAAATCTTTGACGAGCTCGTTTGCCGCGTTTTTTTCCACCTTTCACTGTAGCTGGAATCTGTAATGGGATTACGCCTAGCATATAGCTGGTACCGAGTGCTGCAGGAGTATAACACGTATGCAGTAATGCAGATGCGGGAATATTAAGGGTGTATAACGGTGGAATGCTTAGGTCTCCTACCTCTATGGTCTCTGTGTTGCTTGCTCACGTTCTCACTGCGAGACTTCGTCATGCATTTAATTGCCTAGGATCGGGTTTCTTGTAACTTCACAAATAAGGTAGGTAATATTATAAAAAAAGGTAAATAGGTAGTGATTGATGATGTGAAGCTACAGAAAAAAATAAGAGACGTAAGTGAAAAGCTTATTTCCTAAGGTACATTGAACCGACTCTAACACCGAGCAGATTACAGTGAACCAACCTGCAGTTTTGGAAAATGTAAAGTGATGCATGTATAAAATGATTTGTGCCACACATTCACACTAGGCGACATGGAGTTGGAGCCGTCCTGTTCCCCTACGATCTACGCTGTGACGAAATGCATTCCGTGGGAACCTGGTACTTACAACTCTGCAACCAGTATTTGGACAGTTTCATACGACCTGACCTAGAATTTGGGACTGTGGTCTTTCTTCTTCCACTTAAAAACGTAAGAACTACTTGGAACGCATCCAGAGGCGTTGCATCAAATTTCCGTATAAACTGAGTTTCAGACCGTAAGAGGAACGCATGGCAGCATTGTACCTAAATCCCTTGGAATATAGACGACTGAGAGGTGACTTACTTATGACGTGTAACATCTTGAGCGCTTCATATCATCCTCATTCATCACTTACTTAAGCCAAGCTCTAATACGAATCTTACGGGGACACCTGGAATTTAGAAATTAAACAATAAGCGGGAAATCATATGCAACTTTTTACTTCCTAGTTGTTAAGACTTAAAATGCTGTCCTCATAGAAATTATGGTGGCTACATCATTGGGGTCCTTTAAACACAAACTGCATGCCCACTTACAGTCACAACGTGAACTTAGGAAACTTGGTCACAAATAAACCGCTCCTTTTTGTTTTTATTCTTTGTCTTTATACGTAGGTTCTCAGACACGAACTAGTGGTCCACTGATTCTAGACACGAAAGGCATTTAAACGAAACCTTTTTTAAATCTTGCTAGCAAACATTTGAAACGACTCACCAGCGATAAAGATACCAAACTGATTGACTTGTGCCATTCAAAGAAAGACACACCACTCATCTAGGTAATTATCCATTCCTGTACGAGGTTACGCGTGGATCCCTCTGTCACAGAGTTATGGGGCTTTTGGTAGTGATTTTGTAAAAAAGAAAACTCCGATAAAATTTGAAATAAAACCCTCGAAACGGGACGTATTCTACCAGCCACTTGAAGCTTATTCTTTATTTCTTTTCAACAGTGATTTTAAAATGAGGTGTGTGTATCATGGTCTCTCTCATTCTTTACTACACCATCCACCAAGCGGAGCTTAGGTGTAACAGTGCATGCATTGCAAAAGCTCAATTTTCCTCAAGACTATGTCTGTCATTTCAAAGGTAACTCATTTTCGAAAACACATTTAAGCACTTTTCCTAGCTTGGGTCACTAGGCTATCACCTACGCCTGTAACATACAGTGAGCTGACGAAAAATTCTCAGGGTACTTAAAGTGTAAATAGGACTGACTCATCACCAAGGCCAGATTAAATAAACAACATACACTCAACCCAGGGTCCTGGACATGCGGTTTTCACACTCAACTCAACCTCGTATATATGTTTGTGTACTACATTATGTCTGAGCTGCGGTTGTGATGCTACCAGTTACCCAGACAGATGAAAAAAATCAGGGTCCGAACCCTTCGCTTGGAAATCGAATACTTAAGCTAGTGAGCCAAATCTTGTAAGGTTTGTCGTTTGATCTAGTCATGAGTACGGACACTGCTTAAACCAGCAGTTCAGTTCCCAGAAACCAGAGAGGATACTTTACTTGCATCACCTGTGATCATAGATAAGGTGTGAAGTGCGATTAGCACCACTTGGTTGCTCACAAAGTGAAAGTTTATTTCTTGAGATTCCTAACAACCTCGGGTCAAAAACGAAATGATACTTGAAGGGTCCCAAGACATATGGAAAACGATCTGATTACACGAATGAGGAGGCTAAGTTATGAAAATAGGCACTTGCTTTTATTCGATTCAGAATTATTTCTAAAGTCAGTTTTTATGACTCTACAAGTATTCATCTCTTTTTGTCAAATAAATTGACGTCAATATCCTGTAAGATAAAGCTACTTACAAACGCTTGTCGTGTGACTGTGTAAACAGCCATTGAGGGAGATGTAAGTGGTCATGCATTTGGTCACCAATGCCTATGTATCATTCAACCACCAAATAAATATTAGATAAGGTTATTTAACGTAGCTGAGATCTGTAGTGCTAGGCGCGGTAGAACTAATTTATAGGCAAACTAAGAGCGGCTAGATCACAACACAGCACTAATTCGTGAAGACTATCCCCAGGACAATGGAAACTGTTAGTCAGAGAGAGTAATCCATCTAGGACCCACTTCGTATGGCAGCATATCGCCAACATGCTTCCCTCCACATCTTGAAATCTCTGATAATATGTTAGGCATTCTTGTCCTTAGTGATTCTGATCATGAATTCAATGTTCTGGTGTTTAGTATGGCGAATTGGATGGTTATGCAGGTTGTTGTGTTACACATTAGTGTTGACTAGCCATCTGTAGACCGAAAAATTTAGGCACAAATGAGAACTCATACGGTTTTCAGACAGGTGGACTAAGCTGACTAAATTTGAAAACTATGCTTGCACGTTAAGTAAAGTTCCAGTTGATGGCTTACCCTGGTTTCTGTGATGCGGGGTAAATGAACAAGTAAATCTTGATGGAAGTTAGATTAGGTCTTGTAGGCAATCGGATAATCGTTTTTCTTTTTGAATATCATGCATATGTGGTTTACCTCTGATTTCCAATGAGATTTGTCATATGCAGCTAGTATTTGTCCACCACCTTTTTTTATGAGACGTAGGGTTATCACTGTAATTTGCGTCATCTGTAGCACCGCCTGACGAGATATCTGACTACATGACAGAGGACGATTACACTGCACTGCAATCCGTTCTCTCCTATTATACGGGTGTTAAAAGTAGGAGACATGGAGCAATTACTGGGTTCGGACCACCGGTTGCCTCAGTATCACTGTTCACGTTCGGTGAAATCAGTGCATGACCAATGTTGAGGTCAGGCAAATGGCACTAGGCAAGTCGACTTATGAGGTTGGGGACCTTCACCAGCTGCGGTGGCTTCGATGTGTTGCGAATGCTTGTGCCGCCTACCTCGACGTGCCATGTTGGGGGGGGGGGGGAGTGAATTAGGTCGGAAGAGAATTCAGGGTAACTACGAAGATGTGCCAACGGTCGATGAAGTTTCTGGCTGTTGATCTGAGTCATGTGGTGAAAGGTAGACTGTCTGGCGCCCTCGAGACGAATGAATCAATGGTTCAGGAGTCTTGGTGAAATGGCTGCAAATCAGTTACAATGGCGTAGATGTATTCACCCCTTCGTATCTCCTAGGGCTTGGATATTTGTACCAACCTTTATCTTAAGATTGTTTATTCTCTCACACAATCTCGATACTTGATACCACTTTTCCTACCCATCTGCTCTTTTTGTACTACCGTGATGTGTGGCAGCTTGAGCCTGTGTGTGATGTCCCAAGTTGCTTTTGTCTTCCTCTCTTGTACTGATTCTTCTCCATTTCTTTATATTTTAAGTAATCAATAAAAGTATTCAGCCACACTGGATGTACTCACTTTAAATGAATCAGTCAGTTAGACTATAATCCCTTTTAAACTATTCAATCCACTGAAGCAGGATCTTTTGCGTTCTGCTTATCGGTGGGAAATGAATTGGGGTTAGCCTTTCACTGCCATACACACATTTTATTTCTACGCAGATGCTTCGATATTTTAGCTAACTGAATCTTGATTGTATCTATTTATTAGTCGGAATCATCATATCTAAATGTGCAGTGTATTTATAAGGTGTATTCAGTTTAAATCTGACAGATGATAAATCCTAGCAGTAAGATGAAGTAAGTGTTCAGGATATTACTGTCGGATTTGCTAAATCACTCACCCACATTATATCGATCTTTGTTTCATATCACAATCGAATTGGATAGTGATAACGGTCACCTGTACGTGGAAGCGTAATATCAGATTTATACTCTTGAAAAGAGTCTACCTAGGAAGATCGGAACGTTGAGGTATAATACAAAATATTTATTTATTCTGCTGTTCGACTAACCGGTGGTCACTGGTTCAAATCCCTTTGTGGTCCAAATTTTCATTTCATCCAGTATCAATACAAGTCCGTTAACCACAGCTATCTCAGATAGTCAAAATGAGGAATAAAATTATTAAAATAATCTATTGTAGACCCGTTGCAAGATAACCGTTTCACTCGTTCGTGATTGGGCTCATTAGCGATATACCTGAAATGATGCAGCTCAGGCAGTTGAGTTGTTGAAACAACTCATCTGGCCAGCGATCGGTGTGAGTAGGCTGGAACTACTTATTCCAGTCGTTCAGTAGTGCATTACGTAGTCTCACGCAAGCAGTCTTGACACCTAACTGTGGTATCGAGTGGATCACATATGTTCCATATGGATCGGATATCACAAAGACGGCCATGAAGTTGATCCTCACGACTACCATACGCTTTGGTTCAAGGGACAGCCAGACAACAGATTCAAAACCTGAACGAATCACGAGATAACACACTTTGAAGTCCTTGCGCAACCCCTCCTCCCCCCCCCCCATACACACAAACATGTGCAGGTAATCGAACCTGATGATACCTTAAGTCAGTAAAATCATTTTTATTCCGCAGGATATCATTCCAAAAATAGCGCTATTTCAAAACATCTTACCTTAACTTCATTGTACAACCTTCCGGACAAAATTGGTTCTTGATTCTTCAGGCCAATTTTAATATGCCTTCGAGAGATTTCTACACATACATCACGACATTTAACCTGATGAGTAACTGTGTTCAAGAATTAAAAGAATGTGTATACAGACAACATTTCAGGAAAATTGTTAAGTTGCAGTTAATTCACTTTTTGAAAATGATAACCGAAGACAGCTGATGAAGCTCCCTCTCAATTTTTCAAAAGTACCATGCTAGAATACCTTAACCATTTAGGGTTTTAAAAATTGTTGCCAAAAGCTTATACCTCAATCCTACTTATATCCGATTCAGCTTCAGTATAACGCAATGTTCTAGCTTGTTCTTCACGTACAGACGAAAAGGTTTCTCCAGTGAAGATGAGTACTTCGACAGTAGGATGGGCCAGCTTGCAAAACGCACTCCTGAACACTTCTCAACCTGGCTCATCACGAGAGAGAAATGGAAATGCATCTTTGGACAATGCAAGATTTGAAAAATGGATTATGATAAGGGGGAATAGTACAAATTTCGTACCACCCTTAGTATTTAAATGAAATAAAGATTACCAACGTTTAATGTAAAGATGAATTGACTGTGGATGCTCAAAGAGGGTTGAACTTTCGTACAAGTAAGACTTCATTAATATAGGAGTAAAACTTGGTCACTGTGGTGGATTGTAATTTCATTTTAGCATGTTGATTAGAAATGTCTCAGTGAAACAGTATTATTCAGTGGATGTTTTGGTTGTAAGGTATTGTTTCATATTCATTATAAATATTCATATATTCACTTGATATGACTATAAACCGACTTAAATGGAATTAGGATGAGTGATAATCGAACTATGAAGTCGAGGGTGGTGGAACACACTAACTAAATAGCTGGAAAAACAATTACATACAAACAGTCAGATAAATACAGAGGACAGACAGACTTAATTTTCGATAGATATAAAACACGTTATCGAAACAGGTCACAGGATTGACCTCAAAACAGCCTTTAGATGAGTGTATAGGAGCAGTCAAGACTGTATACTTCGGTTCATTGAAGCCTTAGCCGTATGAAGGTTCAAAACATTTTTTGTGCATTCAGAAATAACTTGGTAATCTTTATCCTATGGAGGTGTGAAAATGAACCCTAGATAGCATCTTTCTACCTAACATACACACTTGGCAAGTGTTGTTTATAAGATTCACAGTTCCACATGAAGACAAACCAAATGTATATTGGCAGATTTTAAAAATTCTTTAGAAATCTAAAGTTATCACGTTACAAAATGTGCTCTATACCACTAGCAGCATTGAGAATAGCAATGTGAAGGTAACTGTTGAAATACGGGACACGTTCAACCTACCCGAGTTGGAACTTTAATGTCAACCTCACCCAGAGTCTGGTACCAACTATAATTTGGCAGTCCGCACCATTTCCCTCATTCGGTCTTAGCTTTCCCTTGTCCTCTTCATCGTCTTCATCATCGGGGGATGAACCAACTTTAATGGGTTTAGGCAGGTCCTCTCTCTCAAGCTCTGTCTGAGAGTCAGATGGTTTTTCCGCCTTATCGTCACTTGATCCATTCACATGAATGTTGGCTAAAAAAATAAAAGGCTGGTGAGAATTATAAATATTTCATACCAAGCAGAAATACTCAACCATATTTAAAATAATCATCATTATGAACACACTAACATAGGATCAGGCATTACTACTGCAAAATGGTCACAACGCCTGTCAGTATGTCAAGCGAGAATGCACTGGGATGAAAGATGAAGAAACAACGAAGAAAGCAGTTAGAGGTGGTGGAAAGTTGTGAAAAGAGACCAAGGAGGAATGAGACAATACTGAATTCAGTACGACGATTCTCAGCTATCACCTAAAGTCGTCAACCATTGGTTTGCGTTATATCGAGGCATCCGCATAGGAGCCCATCTGCCAACAGGGGTTGAGCAATGCAACCCTCCATAGCAATGGGGAACTACAAGTGTCGATAAACAACTGATACCCGTTGCACAAGAGATGATTCTTATGCTTCAGTGGTCTAGTAGATATTGGTTTGACGTTTGAAGTGATGAGTACTGAGTTAGAACCTCAGTGGGAACAACACTCACTGGGGTGCGGGTACGTCCGGTTAAAGAATCCCAAATCGGACGAAATGAGCGTCATGGATTTCATTGCTAGTCACTAACACGACTGCATAAACTAAATTTAACTCCATTCTCTAAACACGTTTGACAGAAGGGGTGAACCACTCACCTGGAATTGATTCTTTTGCCGGGGCAAGATTAGCTTTAATTGCTTCTTCTTTTCGTACAGCCCTTCGTTTTCGTTCACGCTCCTCTCGTTCACTCAGTTCTTTTGCCTCTTGTTCACGACGTGCTAAGCAGCATCCTGTCACATAAGTAAGTAAAGAAAATAGTATGGACTCGCCTAAATCACAGTAATAATGACGAAGTTTCCCACATAATGAAATGAAAAAAGTATATTCAGAACACTATTTCATGGGATAATTTACCATTCAGTCAAACAAATGTCTGTGACAGTTCAGTAGTGTATACACTTTTAAAGACGAAAGGGCATGGACTGCTGGTTCCCAGATCAAGATGATATGATTTTACACAGGTTCAGGTAGAAAGAATTTGATTGGCAGAAAAGTGGTGATAATCTGCTTCACTAATAAGACGATTAGTCAAATCAACGAAGGACCTGACACCGAAGTGCATCAGTTCAATTTGACAACAAAGTAGTCTCACCACACACTAGCAACACTAAAAAGATACTTAGGACTAAAACTTGTAACCTGCTTAAATATACCTTAAACGGCTGTTTCTCGACTAAGGAATATAACGTAATAGATTAGTGTATAGTACGCTTGCCCCGACCAACCTTAGAGATATAGTATGCCGGCAAGTGTCAAGGAGACCTTTTTATCTGAGCTGAAGCATTTATCGGCAACCAGGGTTGATGGAACTTCGCAATTAATTGAATTGGTTGTCGCATTCTGCCTATCCTCTCATGATCGTAAAAATAGTAGGTGCACACTAGCTTGAAGCAGCCTCTTACATATTGACGGGACCGAAATGATGCCAAGCAAACTGAGTTTCTCTATTAAAGACGAAGCAAAGACTTAAGTTTTATCAGCGTCTTCGCCTAACACGACTATGTCATCTGTGAGCTCCAAGTGTCAGCCAGATACTATTTGCGCAGTAAGTTAACCTCCAAGAATCCTGAAGTACGTACATCAGTGCGTCTACAATAAATTAAAAATAAGAATCCTAACAATAAACACACTTGATAGACGCCATTGGTTATTGTTACCTTGGATGACAACTTACCACAAAGCTTTGTACAATCAAGTGGGTTCGAGTTCAGGAGCTCTGGATAGAATAATAGACTTGCTCAGTATTCATTCAACAGTCAGACTCTACTCGACGGAGCTAAATGCTTACATCACAATCGAACCAACTCACACGCAATAAGGTGCATAAATTGACAAAGTCAAGCTCTACCGATATATTAACAACTACTCGACCGATATCCGCTACCTTGGCGTGGTTGACAAGCTTGCATATCATAACGCAACGAACTACACTGGCTGGAACGCTTGTATCCTCGAGGTCCGATTATATCAAAAAGGTCTTTTGAATAGTGGTTAAAAAAACCAGTTGCCGTTATAATGTAAATGCATACACTATGACGGGAGGTCCCAGGATGAAGTCGTACTGCTGATTGGACAGATGGACAACAGAAGTAAAACGTTTTCCGTAAATGACCAGTAGTGCCATGCTGATGTTACATTCTTTATTGGAAAAAAGGGGGGTAGAGAAATCAGCCTTAAAAACAGCGCATTTCTCTCTACTCCACAGTGACATGAGTTTATGGCCAGACTTGCAAAAATAAACTAGCTCAGTTATCAAACTTCTAAAAAGGTCATTTGCAACCGATCTCAAACGGATGTCCTCTTGTGGTCACGCACCAACCTTTCTTTTTCAGGTACCTCAAGAAGAAATAACCTTCAACGGTGTGGACAGGCAAGAAGTGTCAACTGTCCTCACAACTGTTTCAGCGCTTAAGTCCTGTCAAATCACCATCCAACTCTCATATCCGAACTTTTAACCTTCCTTTACGTCTCTCAGTCAATATTTCTACTTCTCTCCTAGCTCTACAGGTCTTGACAACGATCTGAGTTCACGGAATAGCATTATTGGTCTCCTGAAAATACACCGGAGGCTTCAATGTTCGTATCCTCCGTTAAACCGGTCAACAAGATTTGCTAACAAGAACTCTGGCATTCCGGGTCATGAATGCGTGATTTTGTGAGACACGCATACAGGATACCAGTGCGGTTACTCACCTAACTTCACCCAGTCAATATGTTGGGCCCAAAATCAACTATTCGGGTTTCTGCAGATTCGATAGCTAGTTCTCATGGTTTCGCAGTTGAAAATATAGTACTAATTGTTATGAAGTCAAGTGCACCACTCGACTGGACCCCAGTTGACAGCCACCTACCAATGTGTTGTTTGACTGAACTGCAGAGTGGGAACAATAAAGAATAGTGGAACTCGCCGTTATCTCATTTGCAATCTTTACTTACACATCCACTGATTCCAGTCCGGATGAGTTCCATCGACAACTGTCTAGCCTTTTACTGAAGGTCAAACGTTCAGACATGGTTTTTGTCACAGATTTTAATCCACAAGTGAGCAGGCTGTCAGGCATTTTCGGAATCCCAACCGAACGAACAGATAACCTCGATTGCCTACTACAACTGTGCTCAGATAATCATTTATTTCTAGTCAACCCAAACTTCAGACATAAAGAAAGACACTTTCTGGCGAGGCATCCACCGACCTCAACTTGCTGGTGGACACAAACAACTCATATTGCTACCAATCATCGCTGGATAGAGTTGGTGGATGACTGGCGCTCTTTCTGAAGCACGTGTTTTGACAGTAATTACGCATTGATCGGGAAAACCAGTCAGGCTTTAGACCTGGTGTGGGCATATCGACCAAATGTTTACAGTTCGCCAGGTTCTGGAACATGGGCACATTTGCTGATGTCTGCCATTGGCTCTTTTCCTCGACCTGAAGGAGGCATTTGACGTCTATCAAGAGGTCTTGTGGGAGTGTCTGTCACTGAAATGAGTGCTAAGTAAATAAATCACTCAGTTGATGGCTCTTTACTTGAAAGCCCCTAGGTGTGTTAGGACCTTCGTTGAGCTGTGTATTTCGAGCGGTGCCTGTTAAGTGTATCTACTCTCACGACCCTCATTCATCTTTATCGTAGACATACTTATGGAGGTCTTTCTCTGGCCTTACTTCACAGGAATTGATCTCATTACGGGAGAATCCTTGGCAGACCTAGAGTACCCAAGTGACATATTTCTGACATGTAAGATGCTGACAAGATACAGTCTAACCTTAAGTGACAGTTGGAGAATGTTTGGGATGCATATCTCATCACTTAAATGGAAACTGGCGCTCCCAAACTACTCTTTGTTGGTGCCTTGTCTAACAATGGGGAGCGGGATGGTTGAGCACGTTGACAGCTCCACTTGCCTGAGAAGTTGGACCAGCCATAGTGGGTCTGTAGCGGAAGAAATCTTTGCGAAACTACAAAAGGCTTGTTTGCTTTTCGCTATTTATGGGACGATTATAACATTCGATTGTCTATTGAGGACCGACTGTAATGCGCAGCGGTCCAATGCCCTACTACTTGAATGTGAAACATGGGGATTAAAGGTAGTGGACATGGGAAGGATTCAGGGATTCAACCACCGCTACTTTTTTAGTACAGACCTTGGGTTATCGTCACCACATTGGGTAACACAGAAATCAAGACGAGATTTTTAGAGAATCCTTCATCGACCAAGGTGGCTAGGACATACATTACACACGCCTAGTAACCATCTGCCTTGTCGCACAATATTATCTGAAGTAGGCTTAGGCTGGAAAATAGTTAGAAGCGGCTAGCCCAAAGCATATTATCAGTCCATGGCGTCTTTGACTGTTGGTTTGAACTATGTTGGGAAATTTGAACTTCCCGATAGAGGTCCGCGTGACAACACAAACCATTAGCTGGAAATTTTAGATGAAATGGTTCGGGATTGATCTCAGCGATATAAGATGCATCCTTCACATATTAGCTTTATCGTAATCATCATACTGAATTTCAATATTGTCTCATTCCTACTTGATCTCTTCTCCCAACTTCTTATCACCTTTGACTGCTTTCTTTGTTATTTTTTAGTGCATTTTGGCTTGATTTGCTGACATGAGTTGTGGTAGCTTGGACCACTATTCAGTAATATAAGCTCCCATGTTGATATTGACCGAATGATAAACACTTAAACGAGATAAGTAAGAAAAAGCAGTCTCTAAGTAACGGATTTTATATGTGACTGACTAAAATGACCAGTGAAGTAGACCAGTCTGATGCGTCTAGCTCTGATTCTCATACAATACTAATAACCTCCGTTAGTTTCCCACCATCTTGGCGCAGGATGTTGAGTAATCGAAAGGTAGCTATGGGTTAGCTGAACTGAGCCTCTAAGTGTTATAGCCGTCTGTACTGAAAGGTTGTTAGAGTTCCACCGTTTTTGGTGAAAGATTCACTGGCTATCGTTTTCTTCTGGTGAGTCCTTAGTGAGTCTAAGTAGTTGTCGAGTGTTACTCAATGCTGATGCCTGCCTCCTCCATCTCTCTCGATTTCGCCACCCGCTATTCCTCGCGATCATTCAGAAAACTCTTGGATAATTTACGTCTAAGTTTCTTTACCTCTTCATTGTAACCAGAGTCAAATAGAATGAGTCTTTGCGTACCAACCAGTTGGGATGACGTGGAAACCTATTATTATTAAAACACAAAATTGGTACAGCACGGGCATCAAGATATGTGCACACAAAATAACATCACACTATAAAGACATAAAGCGAAGAGAAGTAGATAATTATATAAAAAACACAACAAGAGTAGAATGAGTAGAAAAGCAGTCCAATGAAATAACATTCATTACTTTTCAGCAACAGAAGGTAGCTACAGCATGACCGCAATTAGTTTCGATTCTGAGCTATTCTGATAACGTCTTAAGTCACTGAGTTGCGTGATCTCTCAGATCCCACGCAGGGAATTGTAATGCACCAACATATCACAACACGGTACAACTATCGTCTGACCCACGGCGCCACGTCATACACTGACCACCCCTCTGCTTCTTCCGTCAAGTTCCAAGGCTAACAAACAATGAACGGTATCAAAGACGCTGGGGCGATATGCGTAACATATGTCTAAGCTACTGAAACCCATGTTTCCAGATGACTCAAGTCATTGAATGATCTCCATCACACCCGAACACACGCTGTCGTACCTCAGAATTACTTACAAGGTGTTCCCACAAGATTCAACAAGTCCTACGGAGACAACGATGATCGAACACACAGAGTTGTCTCACATACTCAGATCAAAAAGGCCAGGTTTAACAGGCGTACAGCAGAACTGCTTGCACAGAAACGTTACAAACCTTGCTTTTTACGGTCACACTAACCTTGCGACGGCGCAAAGGTCGCATGTGTCCCTCTGGCTTCGATATGCAGTTAGAAATTCCATCACTTAATCAACTGACTTTTGCTAACCTTTGAACATGTGTTACCAAGTGTCTTTAACGCTGTTTCAACAACAGGTTGAATATTACACCAGGTTTTTCAGGATGACGATTGCTATCACGCTAAAATACGTTCTTATCTCCCAGTAGAGCAAACGCAGGCTTAATTAGTGCGTTTCCCGCGACCAATAAGGCGCAGACATACACGAGAACGTACTAGCGCGTGACCAGAGTTCAGACTGGTGCTCTAGAAATGGCAACAATCCTCTCCAAGGATGGCTTATAGCAATATGACCTATCTTTATGCGTCGTTGATTTGAAGTCAGCGGATGTCATGTGAAGCAGCGTCTCTCCTTTTGCTTGAAGAAGTTAGTACTGACCAGAAACAAGCGACTGTCGGGACGAAATTGCAACAGACAATTACGGATGCCGGTTCGTTAGCATGGAACTCCGTAGATACCTCCAAGATGCCTTTCCAGTAGGCTCAAACATCCTACTGGAGCGTTAAAGCTGCCTGCTGTTATGACCATATGTGAACGATTTCCTTTTTGTAGCAATGTTGACAGCTTCTCATAGAATTCATCCGAACTAAATACAACTCAACCACTGCTAGTGTTAACTGACTGACTAGTTGGTTACCACAGTAAATTTTAATGGAAGATGTAGTAGATGAGAGACAACAATTAAGATCGACGTGTAGTTAACGAACAGTGACTAAAATGTTAGGCTCTCTTAAAAATCAATAAGATCGGTTACTTAACAGGTGGTAATGATGAGCAGAATTAAGGTATGGTTCAATTTCACACTGAAATTCACACGATGCAGCAGTTTTTCACAGATAAAGTTAAACAAATTCACCAAGTATCATACATATTTCGAAGTAATACTAAAAACTGGATTTGATAACCGTATTTTTTCAGTTTTCCATAACACATGTCTTCCTTGAGAGTAACTTCAATAGGTGACTACCTTTCACGTTTACACAACAACCGAAAGAGATGAGGACAGGGAAGCTTACGCGGTGCTTCGAAAAATTCTCCAAGACCAAACGTTTCGCGTCTTTTTCAGTAGCTCCATAATAGAAATCAGTTCGTCTGGATAGAAAGCCAAAGAAAGCATCCAACAACCCCTGCACTCCGTTCTCACAGCTTTGTGCAACACTCAGGAACACATTATCATACTCCATGATAGATAAACAGCTTAAAAAATAAGAAAAACTTTTAAATTAACTCACTTAAATATAAATCAGAACTTAAATCAGATGGTAAAATTATATTTAGACAGAAAGAATTTACTTAAAAGCCATTAATGGCACGTAAAGATGAAAAGTTAGCATCAATAGTTCCAAATGCACTAATTGTTTCTGAAACTAAAGTCACTAAATCAAGCCAACTATTAACGGCGATTCGCAGCTTCCGTAGCTGTTGGTTTTTATTATCAGGAGTGATAGGAGCTGAAAACGTACAAATGAGATTACAAGCGTCCTGCTTTAGCTGCTCTTTCACTGTAGATCTAGGAGGCGGAGGATCCACTGAAAGTGAACGCAGGGCAACTGCTGCAGCATTTGGACTGTCGAATGAGATGCAAACAGATACACGGTGTTCATCAATTCCTGATCCTTTATCACTCAGATCCATCGAGCCGCACATTATCAGGAATTCTAAAAGATAAGGCTACACAACAGCACACATACGGTACGGAATTTTTAGCTTCTTGAGTTTCGCGTCTTATTTCACGGCGTACGTTTTCACTCAATTTCTAGAATGTTAGTGTAAGCAATCTTCTGTAAATTACTTCTCGTTCGAGGACCTGAGCAATATGCACACCAACAAATGTAGATAATGCAAAGATACACGACACTCCCAAAGTGATTTTGGAGGCTGTTGACATGAAGTCTAAAACGGAAGGTGACATCAGTCTGCGGCATCACAACATAGACACAATCCTAATTATTGCTTTTTGGATAACCATTTTTCGGTAAAATCGTGGCTGTCCCGTTGGGAAATCGACTTGAAATCAGAAGTTATGCATGTAACACTGATTCATTTAGAGGGGTTCTGTCAGCGATGTAGTATTATTGGCTCCTACTTAACACATGTACACCGTAGCGTATTGCATGAGCTTGCGTATGACCGATCAGTGGCACCATATAATGGAGTATCATTGTCAAATATCAGTAATTAAGTATACCTCTGTGTAATGCATAACTTCGTTTAGTTATACCCACTTTAGGTTACCAATAAATGGCAATTCAAGTGAATACCGATACTAGCTACCTTGACGTGATGGTCCGGTTAGTATATCATAATGACTCAATGAACTATGCTGGTGGTGGAACGCTTGTTCCCTAAAAGTTTGTTGGAGTGGTTACCGTTGTAGTTTAAACTGCTACACCACGATGAAGGTCCGAGCGCGAAGTCGTACAGCCGGCTGGAAGAGTGTGACAGCAGTAAAGTGTTTCCCTTGGATGACTAGCAGTGCCATGCTGATGCTGCCTTCCTTAACGGGAGGGGGCTTTAAAAAAATCGGCACCAAAAATAGCACATTCCCGCTACCCAAGAGATGCCGGCTACCTGGGTTCATAGTCGGATACAAATGCAACAAATCAGAAGGCCATGTGCGACTAGCCTCAAGAATGTCTGTCCGGCCCTGTGGTCCCACACCAACCTATCTTACTGGGCACCTCAAGAAAAAACAGCCCTTCACGGTGTAGGCAGTCAGAAAGTGCCAACCACCCTCACAACTCAGTCAGCACTTAAGTTCCCCCGATTGGACGTTAATTTCAAAGTACCAGTGACAAGTCATGTATCCTTTAAGTAACCGATAAGAAAAGGCTTTTCCATCATATCTAGCCTTTGATATTTTCTGACCGCTATATGAGGAATCTGTAGAATGTAAAGTTATCAGCTTTTTGTGACCTTATACACTTTTTCACTAAATGCCTTAATTGCAAGAAATGAACAAAGGTTAGATAATCGGAGATTCGGATGAACTATCTGTGGTGCTGACATGTTTACCAGTCATATATCCACTTACCATTTCAATATATTTAAAACAGTTACATTAGCATCATAGAAGGTAGAAAGATAGCTACTGATGTTCTGTGTTTTACTCTTAAACCTGAATACTTAATGCTTGGAATTTCATTTACATATTTATTGAATTGGACAACAAGATATGATGCATTTGTAATTTAGTGCCTACTTGGCTACGAAAAAATCGAAATCCACTGAACAACCACCTTGTGCGGCAGGCAATGAACCACACCTGTTATGTCAAGCCTAATAATAATACCTGGCTGTTTACACCCCAGGACGTGGCACGGGGTTCGAGCTCATGATTCGTCGATTGAAAGTCAGATCCCTAGACCATATTTGGCTATGCAACACAGTACTGTACCATTATCGACAGATAATTTGAACATCCTAGCAAAAATATCGAACAGTTTTTTAACGTCTGCAAAACACCAGCATTAGGAAGTTTTCATCTTCGCAACCATCTATTATGACTTTCTGAAGCGCAGGTGGAGGTATGATTGATTGAGCTGAAACCCTTGACTTCCAAGCATCGCTCAAGGTTTAAACTCCCACCGCTTTGACCTGTGAAATCGGCTGTTATCATAAACGTTTATATGAAAGGTATAACTCAATCCGGTACATAAAATCCTGTGCTATTTAGTTGTCTTTAGTGTCGGGGTCGAAAAAGAGGCTCCCCTTCTTTCATAACGTTACTTTGAAATCTTGTACCTTAAAATCTACAGACCACCTAATACCAAATGTCGTTACTTTTAAATAATTTTATGGGGGCTCATACAAATAAGGTGACAGAGGACTACTTAAAGGTGTATTTACGTACACATAACAGTTCAGGTGATTTGATACTTCGAAGTCACTTAGACAAATACTTTCATCATAACTATGCTAATAAGAAAAAGCTGAAGAAAAATAGTCTCCTAAACATAGTCATAAAGCCATACCTACTGAAGGTTTTTTTTTTATTTCATCAATAATTAGAAAGAAACGACTGTTTTACTAAAGATTATTTGAGTTGCTTTAAGTGGTCACTATATCTCAATTGACCATAGTATTATGTGAGGCAGATGTCAGTTTGACCACTTCCCCTTAAGTTTTCAGTTATAAGGATAGTAGGCCAGTTGACCTGTGTCAATCCTTGCAGAAGATATCTCTGTGAAGATCTAGTTTCTTCTTGAACGCGTTGAAAGAACGTGCTGATACTACCTGCTGAGGTAAGGAGTTCCAGACATTCACAACACGATGGGAGGAACGCAGATTCATACTAGGTTGATTCGATCGCGGTTTTTGAATTTTCTTGTGATGCCCTCGGATATAGTCAGTCCTAGCAGGGGTGGAAAGATAGGACATATCAGTACCGAAGTCATTATTAAGAATATGAGGTGCCAGTATGAGATCACCCCGTTTCCTACAATAAGATAATGGGAATAAGTTTAGCTAATCTAGTCTTTTCTCATAGGACAGATTCGAAAGGCCTGCCACAAGCTTAGTACCTACCCTTTGAACACGCTCGAGTGTGTCAGCATCCATTTTGGGGAATGGGCCAGCCGCGTGAATGCAGTATTCCAAGTGAGGTCTAATGTAAGTAGAGTAGAGTATTCTGAATATGTCCTGATCAAAACATTTGGAAGCTCTGTGGAAGGACCATAATACGCGGGAGCCCTTTGCTGCAGCTGCATTACAGCTTGCCGAGGTTTTCAAATCATGACTAATGATGACACCCAAGTCTTTTAGTTCAAAGACTGGGAGTAGTGGTGTACCATCAACGGAATACTGGAAACAATTGCTATGACCAATGTGCATTATTGCACTTTTGTTAGAGTTGATTTCCAGGCACAAACGTTTGGACCGACCTACTAGTTCATCTAAATCCACCTGAAGTGCATACCTATCTGCATCACAGCATATGATTCTCCAAATCTTTACATCATCGGCAAATAGCAGTACTGAAGAGTTGAGTATTTTTGGCAATTCGTTGACATATAACAAGAAAAGTAGGGGACCTAGGATTGTCCCTTAAGGAACTCTACTCATCACAGGTTTCCACCTGGATAGTGCCCTACTCATCTTTACTCTTTGCCTTCTATCGTATAAAAAGTCCCTAATCCAAGCTTGCAATGAAGCACCAAACCCGGTGTTTTCCCAGTAATTTCACATGCGACACTTTGTCGAATGCCTTATTGAAGTCTATAAACATGGCATCTATTGGCAGCTTGCAATCACGAGCTGCAACCCATCCCTCTCTTGCGATAAGGTTAGTTACAGGAGTGCCTAGTACGAAAACCGTGTTGTTGTGGTGACAAGATTGGTTGATTCCATACGTTTAAGTAACTTGTGACGAATTATTCTTTCTAAAATCTGAACAACTATGCTAGATAGACTCACAGGGAGATAGTTAGACACCACATGGCGACTGCCGGTCTTAAAAATTGGGCTGATTATGGCATATTTCCAGTCTCTAGGGTGGTGAGTCTGAGTTAGGGACATAGTGAAAACATCCGTGACTGGCTCAGCAATGATGTCTGCTAGCGAAGATAGAAGTCTGGGATGTAACTCATCGGAACCTGGGGATTTTCCAGGTTTAAGGCTAGAAAGCTGTACTGACTAAGTTTCACATCCGTTAGAGCAAGCTGACTCAGCTATTACGCAACAATGACACGATAGCATGTAAGACACAGTATACTGTAGCAAACACTTTAAGCCTCAAAAAAACACCTACCGAAAACTAACACATGAATATGTAACTCTTACCAATGCGCCAAACAAAACTTAGTGCGACTGAACAAAGTTTCAATCCCCAATCCTCAACTACATTTACAGGTCCCAGTCGTTAATCCTTCTGTGAGAGGATCTGAGCTAGGATCGTGTCTTGACATAATAATGACATTATTATAGGGAAAACATTCAGGCTTTTGGACCTCTGTTTGCAGAAAATAAACGTAGGCCGCCTCACTAACATTGTCTCTACGTCTTGAACCCGTCATAATGTCCGGTTCCTTCTTAAAGCATGGACTAGCTGCCTTCATGCAGTTTCTGAGGTGAGATCTTCTGTTATTTAAATATAGCATACTTAATGTTCCTGCATAAAAGTAGTTTAAGGCCCTACTGAGTGACCATAGCTGGCATAATTTTGATTGCAACTTCACTACAGTGTCCTGTCATCTTAAGCTTTTCGCTGATAACCTTTAGATGCCTTTCTTACCCAAAGCAAGGCAGTATTAACAAACCTTTCGAGTAAAGATAGTAAAACCTATTAAATGTACAATGCCACAATTTCGCTAGGGTTGGTTTCCAGATACCAGTGTTTGGGACATTTTGTCATTTCATCTAACTCAGGCTAGAGTGGTAATGTATCTTTATTTTCAAATACGGCCCTCTAAGCGGCGATGTCATCTGCAAAAGGCAAGAGTAACGGCTGAAACGTATCTGGTGATTCATCAATACACTCGAGAAGTGAGTGAGGCCCTAGTGCAGTGGCTTTGGGGATTCCATATGGGACCGCATTCCACTCAGATGGCAGCTTACTCTAACCTCTGGCTCCTATAATCCAGCTAGTCCCTCAACCACTGGTCTACTTTTTGCATCTCTACCGAAACCTGCGACCTTAGTCGACAAGC